CTGATCAGCTGTTTGTCGGCTCAGCGCGGCAGCCATGTAAATTTAAATGAAGCGGCGATTATTTATATCGCCGCTTCATTTTCCTATGTCTGGTAGCCTAATCTACATGCCTCTGGCAACAGAGGCATGTAGTCTAGACGTACCCTAAGGGTGGATATGATAGCGATCTATAAAATCATGACTGGTGTGGAAAAAGTGAATAAGGAAAAGTTATTTACTTATTCCCACAATATAAGAACGAGGGGTCACCAAGTGAAATTAATAGGCAGCAGGTATAAAACAAACAAAAGGAAGTTTTTCTTCACTGAGCACACAGTCAGCCTGTGGAACTCCTTGCCAGATGATGTCATAAAGACTAGGACATTAACAGGGTTCAAAAAAGAACTATATAGATTCATGGAGGTTAGGACCGTCAATGGCTATTATCCAGGATGGGTAGGAATGGTGTCCCTAGCATCTGTTTGTCTGGAAATGGGTGACAGAAAAGGGATCACATGATGATTACCTATTGCATTCCCTCCCTCTGGGGCATCTGGTATTTTCCAGTGTCAGCAGACAGGATATCAGTCTAGATGGACCTTTGGTCTGACCCAGTGTGGCTGTTCTTACGTTCTTATGAGACTGACACTGATGTAGGATGTAATAGTTTGCTTACTGAACATGGCAGCATGCTGGGAATACATAACATTGGTGTACCTGGATCTGCACTGGCTGCTCATTGGTTTCTGGGTGGAGTATAAGGTATCTGTTATGACCTACAAAGCTCTAAATGAGAGGGAACTGGCCAGGGTAAGGAGTTGCCCCTCCCCATGCCATACTGCCACAACTGTGGTCAGAAAGAGCACATGACTGGATCTCCCTCATTATATATGGCGACACGGGGGAGGGTTTGCAGGATAAACTCTGCAGAAGCTGCACTACTCTAGGGCTAGTTTTATCACCTTGTTCTGAATTTGGTGACCTTCCAGGCATGCTGCAAAAGATGTATCTGTTTGATGGGGTTTTTTAGAGGTCTCAAGGTATACTCCCCAATGATGGAATAGAAAGGCATCTCTGTAGATGGCTGGCTGAATGCCTGTGGAATAACTACTTTTATGCTGCTGGATTTGATTGTGTGAGTAATGATGGTAGGGTTTCTCAAACTTTGGATCAAGGTCCTTGTATATATTGAGTCTAAATAAAATTATTAGAAACCTAAATTTATGTTAACATCTTTCCTTTCACAGAGGTATCAAGCTACTTAAGTGCAAAATTATTTATATCTTAAAACTATTACAGTGTGGTGAGAGAGATCCTCCAGATCCAATCACCTTTAACAAAAGAAACATGTTAAATTATTACTTGGCAGTTTTAAAAATATTACTGTTTTTGTGGGACCTGCAAAAAGAATTTTTAATTTTCTATTCTGGTAAGTCTCACAAAAATTTCCTGGAAGAGATATCCCAGAACTATCAACATTGTACTGAGATCATCCTCATCAGTTATATTGGTGAACAAACAAGGCTGTCGTCAGAACCAAGAGTTGGTGTAAAAATGTAGGAAATGAATAGCAGTGTTTGTCAAACGGAAAAGAACAAAATAGGTGATTTTCAGGGTTCCTATTGAATAACAAAATAAGGAACATAAGAATGGCCATACTGGATCAGACTAACGATCCATCCAGCCCAGTATCTTGTCTTCTGACAGTGGCCAATGTCAGGTTGCTGTAGTCAGAGCCACGTGATCACAATGGGGTTCTATGGGGTCTTCACCTACATGGATCCAATTGCAATATTAGAACCTAAAATGTGGTTGTTCTGATATTAAATGTTCTCTCTTTATTTTTTTTAATACAGGTTTGGTAATCAGACCTTAAACTACAGGCTCTTCTATGATGGAAAGCACTTTGTAGGGGAGAAAAGGTTTGAATCTATTCATGATTTGGTAACAGATGGCTTGATAACACTGTATATAGAAACCAAGGCTGCTGAGTACATTTCCAAAATGACCAAAAACCCCATCTATGAACACATTGGATATGCTACTCTGCTCAGAGAGAAAGTATCCCGAAGGCTGAGCAGAACCAAAACGGAATCCAGAAAAGCTAGTGTAACAAGTGAAGAAAATACACCGGTTGAAAAGGTAACTATTCAGTATTAAATGGCAAATAATCTAATGCTTTCTTTTATCTGCTTAAATGGTTTGAAAATCTAAAAGGAAACAAATGTTTCTTTAATGATTAACTATTATTTTGTTGTCATTAAAGTGTTCCTGAACTATTGAAATGTTTATATACTGTTAACTGACTGATAACAAATCATATGTACTCAAAATTACTATTTGATTGGGGCTTTTGAAAAGATGATAAACTGACACTGCCAACTGAAATGATTCTTTGTATGCAGTGTGGGGCCTGACTACTTTATAAACAACTTTTCCTTAAGCACCATCACAGTGGCTGAGAAAAGCTGAGATATTCGGAAGTCATGGCATTCTGAGTGGCAGGTCCCAAACTGTGGAATGTGTACCTGTTGGCCATTCACCAGAGCTCAAGTTTGTTAGCTTCTAGGGCATGGTGCAAAGCTCCTCTTTTCTGTCAGTCCTTTGGTGAATGGGTCTAAAAGTGGGGTATTATCTTTGCCTTCTTTTTTTCTCTTTCTTTTTCTGAGTTAAAATGGATTTTCTTGCTGTCTCTTGGTTATATGTTACAGCAATATGTGAACTAAAGTTTATTGACTTAATACTTTGAGAACTCCATCCTTTTAACAACAACAATTACACCATCTATGATAAACAAAACAAAAAAAAACTTTAAAAAAGAGTAGTCCTGTTGCACCTTAGAGAGTAACAAATATATATAATCATGAGCTTCCATGGGCAAAACCTACTTCTTGTGGGTTTTTCCATTTTTAGGTGAACTATGTGTAACCACCACCAGACGGATTTGAACCTGGGATCTCTGAAGGGAGGTATAGGAACCTCTACTCTCTGAGCTAAAAGCCAGCTGGCTCCCAGCGCATCCTGTAGAGGTCTCTTGGTCTTAACGGTTGCTGTCGTCTAGGTACCACTTGCATTGCTCAGTAACTACACTAGGTGTGTGGGTTTCATATGCACTAAGTATGCCAAACAAAACTTCAGTCTGACCTGCTAAAAGGGAATGGTCTGTGAAACCCACAAAATGAGTTTGTTTTTGTAGCAACATAATACGCTGCTAGATTCCCTTTGCCTTGCTCTGTTTATTTCTATGGTACACCTAAACAAATATTTCAGGGAAAGTTTCTTGGGGAAGTAACAGCTCATTTTTGGTTGTTCAAAAGACTTGCTTTTGTTTGGGGTTTGTTGCACAGTATTATGGATACAAGGCATATGTCTTGGTCACAGATCAAAACCCACCAAAAGCACTAATAAAAGGTACATAGCCAGAAAGAACTAAAGTAACATTCAGGGTGATGTATCTCTCTGAAGTAAATGACTTGATTTGTGAGTGGACATACTTGAATTTTGCGCAAGTTGAGTTGTCTTTGACATTTAGAGTGAACAGGTGATATTAAAGTTTTGAATAATGTAATTACTTTTTTGGACTGAGCTACCTGGAATACTTTCAACATTTCTGAAACTCCAGGAAAGAAAATAGTGCAGAGAGGCTTTCATTATGGCTGCAAAAGTGCTTGAGAATTTGGCACCGTATAGGTTAAGTCCCAGTACTCCTATTATAGATTAGGTTTTTTTGAAGTGAAATTTCACTTCATATTGATACCATTTCCAGAGCTGTGAAACTGGTGCTCAGGGCATTAATTTCTTCAGTAGATTTGTTAAGCCATTTAGGGGCTCTATCCATTCTTTCTTGTCCTGTGTTGACAACAGAAATTATTAAACATCTCAGTCATTCGAGAGACTCTTTTCCCCTTTGGGTAGGTCAATGGAAGGTTGTCATAGAGGCATTATCTAGGAAGGAGATGCACAAATTTGAATAGAATGACTTGGAATCGCCTGAGGTACCTGTCTACTCCCATAATGTGGATTCTTGTAGGTTGTAATTTAGTGGAGCCTTACCCATTGCAGTACAAGAGAGATGGTTCATGTGCCAAATTAAGCTGTTTTTATTTGTTTATATATTTTACTAATCATGTTTGAAGTAATCCTGAGAGAATGTTTACCTTTAAGATACCTGATAATGACTAAACGTCATGCAAACCTCTTTCTGTCTGAGTAGCTGGAAGATTTGTAGTCATGAGCTTGCCACATTTTATTTAGAGTGGGTAGAAATATGTTTAATTCAAATGGAGTTTACATACTCTTTAAGAATGAGAACCTAAATTGTGCAAGATACTAGTTTAGCAACTAGTGACAGTCATTTTAACCTGTTTGGACTTGCACGGGAATTGGGAAACTGTTATTGCATGAAAAAAATGAACAAATCCTTATTCTAACATTATATAATTAATTGAGAGTATTCAGGGTTCCTCTCCAACCCATACTGAAGAATTGAAATTGCATATTCTGTATCATTTCTGTTCATCGAACATTCTTCACGTTGGGCAAGTACAGAATGTGCAATAGCAAGACGCAGATAAATGGCTCACAGTATGAATGCTGGAAGACAAAGTTTGTTTGCTATAAACAATCCATCTTCTTTTGAAAGAGAAATTTATAGTAGTCATTCATTACTAAAATATCTGGTTCTGAAATTGTATATTGCCACGATCACATGACAGTTTTTATTACTCCTTTAAGTGCTCTGTATGTTACTGCCAAGGAGAACATTTCCCCCTCTATTGGTAGTATGAAATTTAGGAAAATATCTTCAAAAGGTTTTGTATTTCCAGATGATGGCAATACGTTTAGGAGTCTTTCCATTATAACCATCTATTTGATAGGGGACGAACTACATTATTAGAATTGTCTGCAATGTTACATGTTATAGTGTGTATTCCTATTATTGTTGAAGTTAGTGGCACACCACTTGACTTCAGTGAAAATAGAACCAGGCTCAGTGTGTTAAAGTCAATGCAAAAATATAAATTGTTTGTACAGGCAGTCCCCGGGTTACGTACAAGATAGGGACTGTAGGTTTGTTCTTAAGTTGAATTTGTATGTAAGTTGGAACTGGTACATATTGTAGGGGATACTCTAGCCAAACATTTCTCCAGAGCTCAGTTTTATTCTCCCACACCTCACTTCCCTCAGTCCTTTATTCTCAAGCTGAGGTGTCTCCCTGGTCTGCTGGGGGGAAGCAGCTAGTGCGGGGTTGCCTCACCCTGTTTGTAAGTAGGGATCCGATGTAAGTCGGATCCATGTAACCCGGGGACTGCCTGTATATGGAAGGTTTGTTTTGTATATGGAAAGTTTGTTTGAATCCAAAAATGCCTACACAGACTGCTCTATGATTATAGGCAGCTGTTGAGATGTGTGTCTTATAATAAGGAGCCCAGATAATCTGTGAGGGAAAACTTGGCATTTGGAACAAAGATCATGGAGGGCTGTGGTCAGATACTTCGTTGAAGAGTAGGATAGTAGCAGTTCCTGACTGGTGCTCTGTTACATAAAGCTGAAATATTGATGCTTGACATAGTTATCTTTTTACCCATTTTGCTAGAAGCAAGTGCTAAGCATTTATGTGCAAAATGACAGAGCCCAAAAATTATACATTGCAATAGTATTGAAGAGGTGAATGACATAATATATGCCATTGTCATATATTATATTATGGAATCTGGAATATCTTAGAATACCTTAGGAGGGGAAAAAGCCCACAAAAATAACCGAGAGACAGGTAAGAAAGTTGTTCCTTTTTTGTCACATGTTCCTGAATAGGAAGAATAATTTTGCTGGAAAATATAATGGGTGCTATTGTAGTCATTAGTCATGCTGCTGTCACATGTCTTCCCACAGAAAAGAATTAAATGCCTTGAGACTGAGGTATATTGTTCTGAAACCACATTTAATTTTAGATGTAATCTGATCGTGGAACTAGATCTCCTTAAGATCACAGCATTTCATTACTGTAATTCAGAATTAGCTGGAGATGGCCAAACTTTGAAAATCTCTGGTTTGATTCAATTTACAGAAGCATCCCCACATTTGCATTAATATTCAAAACTCAGCTGATGCGTTTGAAAGCTTCTCTTCCTCCCCTCCTCCCACCATCTTTCCGCTATCTCTCTTGGTTGTGGGTTGGTTTTTTTGGCCCTTCCCTCCCAGGTCCCACTCCTGATCAATACTATACAGGCCCTTTGGGCCTTCTCTTTCTTCTTTACACTTTATTTTCTGCAGGACCCACTACCATGGGAGTCTGTCATAGCATTCTAGCTGGACTCTAGTATCTCTGCTGGGACAGAAGTCCAGATAGTATTTCATGTATATTGCTGTATGTAGCTAATGGAGGACTCCTCTCCCCCTCCAGCCTGTTAAGATATGAACTGTGCTGCCTACTAGGGGGCCACAATAGGCTCTTTAAAAGACAGTGATGGAGTGATCCCTGCAAGATTATGCAGGAGGGAGGCGGTACCTACCTGAATCTATCAAACCTTACAAAAAGGTTCACATGAAATTTGGGGAAGGGGCTGATTTTCAAAATGGGGTTGCTAGCTTTGTCTTGGGTACTATGGCAGTTCCTGAAGAAATGAAAACAGTAAACAGTGTGAAAACTTGAAACTGTGAATAAAGCCAATTTCTCTAAGTTTTAAAATAATTTGTTTTGATCCTAATCTGATCATCTTCCTCCAGTGGAAAGTGGGTGTAAAATTCTACCAAATTAAAATGGCTTTGTTTCACATTACCTTTGCACAGGTGTAAATTGCTTCACAAAGTGTGGGGCAAGGCAGAATCAGACCTGAAAAAGTTCTCATTCCCTTCCAAGCTAGGGTTGGGAGGGAGGGAGTTGTCTCCCTGCCCCTCCCCCTCCTCCCCCACAGCAGCCCTGGAGCTGGAGCTGGGAAGTCTTTCCTCAGCATCTGCAGTCCTGGAACTGAGGAAAACTGCTTCTTTCTCTGGCTGTTGCAGCCCTGCACATCCAAAAGTCTCCCCGCCTCTTCTTCCCCATTGCCCCCCAACTTACATCCTATTCTCCCCCTTCACTCCATTACTGCCTCCTCTCCACCCCCCACCCCACCAAAGCCATCACCTCCCTTACAGGGTCCAGG